CATTGAAGAGATCCCGCGCGATTTTAGTTCGGATCATGAGTCGCTGGTGATCAGGCTACCTTCTCTGAGCCCCAGCCCCTCGAATTCGTCCAGCTCATCGTCAGAATCCGTATACTTTCCGATGTTAACTTTACCTCAATTTCCAATGAATTCTCCGGAAATGCTCACCCGTCGGTTCGACCGAGATACCTGTGGGATCCTCTCTGTCAAGGACGGCCCGACTGAAAATCCATGGCGGACTCTAATCTGGCCTCTTGCTCGAGACTGCCCTGCCTTGTATTATGCGATTGCTTCGATGACGTCTTTCCATCAGTCTAAAGACTCAGCTCAGCTCAGAATGCAAGGAATAGCCCACATGAGTACCGCAATACAAATCTTGGCTTCCGGGCTAGAAAACATGCGGTATGAGGCAGCCATATCTACAACGCTCGTCCTCGCTTTCTCCGAATCTTGGGATCAACATATCAGTACCGGAATCAATCACATCAAGGGGGCTAAACTACTGCTGGACCGGGAGTTGGCTCGCCACAATCTAGTCCCCTTGCGGGGAGAAGAGCGGACTCGACTCCAGTTTCTTTGTAATACCTGGATTTATATGAACGTCATTGCACGTCTTACGTCGTCAGACAACGACCAGTCGGATGACTTCGATGCTGTTTCCGAAATGCTCTGTTCCAACGACGAAGAGTATACAGAGCTCGACCCTTTGATGGGGTGTGCCAACACCCTGTTTCCCATAATTGGACGTGTTGCCAATCTGGTCCACAAAGTGCGCAATATGGATAGTAACAGCCCTAGTATTATATCACAGGCACTGCAGCTCAAGACCCAGCTCGAAACATGGGTTCCACCCGCGCATATCGAAGACCCCGAGGACGAAACTACTAGCCCACATGATTCTGAAAGAACGGCAATAGCATACCAATATGCTACCCTTCTGTATCTTCACCAAGCAGTGCCAGAAATACCCTCGTTGTCTTCCTCTGAACTCGCTAAAAAGGTCATGTGCGAGCTCGCCACCGTTGAGCCTCGTTCTCGAGCAATCATTGTTCAAATCTTTCCTCTCATGGCTGCTGGCTCAGAGGCCGTAGCCGAAGACCGAGAATGGGTTCGCAATCGGTGGGAGATGATGAGTGCGAGGATGAAAATTGGAGTTATTGACCGTTGCGCCGACGTCACGAAAGAAGTCTGGAAACGGCGTGATGATGCATTCCAGCATGCCACTTATCAGGAGGATACTTTAAATGAGCCTTTTATGCCAAATCGATTGAAGCGGGATTTCAGCCTCATGTCGGAGGGCGTTGGTGATGGCGACGAATTCTCGTGGGGGGATTTAGGCAATAAACGTCTGGCCCTTAGTAGGCCTATCGCTTTTGATTCTCCACAACCTTTGACAGTTAAAGCAGAGTATGGGGAGAGTAGAAGGCGATCAATATCCACCACAGAAGCACTGGACCCGGACCTTACCGTCAAGGGTCGCCTGCACTGGCTAGGGGTAATGAAGGATTGGGGTTGGGAAAGTAAGCAATGTTCACCGTTTACAAGCTATCATTATACTAACTCTTCCAGTTCTTCTGGGGTGAAATGCCATACCTGTTGGAAACATCTATCATCCGCATAACTTTACAGTCCGTTCTGTTCCTTTTGTCAGCTCCGTTTATTTCAAACCAGCGTATTCCCGTACGTACATACATCCAACGCACGAGTCGTCCCTCAATTCAAGGCGAAATCTGAAGAACAACGCGCCACTCAAGGCGCACATCACTTTGCAAATCATCCGATCTTCTCCTTGGATATTTGATCTCTAACTGCCTCGCTGCGGTTTTCGATTTTTCTCTGCCTTCTTTTCCTCTTAATATTTATTCTGCTAGTTTTCAGTTCTAGACTGGTCGCATGTCACATGCGGTTTAACATAGGGTATCATGGGCTTGTATTAGTTACAGCTTGGCGTACGGCACGGGAAACGCTCCATTAACGAACAATGTGCTTTAATGACTGGAGATGGCGTTTGAATTTTTTTAGAAATATTTTGAAGGGACCCTGATATAGGACGATCAAGGGTGTTTCATCTTTGGCTGGCCCAAGTCTAGGCACCGTGCTTAATTTGGTATTTGGGGCGGGCATTGGGTTGGACCGGCCTGGATGGATTCGGGTGGGGAACAGTGGACATGGTGTTCAACCTTGGCTTTGGTTATCCGCCATATCGATATTGAATTTGGAATGATTTGGACGTTCGCCCGGATCTGCATATGCATGTTCGGACTGCTCAAATTGAGGTAACATGGGCGACCTATCACCGACGTGCCCGCATTATATTGAGGCTCTGCGACAGACTTGGGAGGTATGAAACGCAGTGGATGGAGATACGTTCGGTTTGGCTGCCTCGTACTTCAGTTGGCTTGACTGTAAGTCTCTTCTAGTCACCTGTCAACCTTCTGTGGAGTCCGCGCCCCTTTCAGTGCTGTTCGCGGCACGTTTTCCCCTCAGCCATCTTCAGCCCCTCTGTCTCACGGAAAGCTTTATTATCTATACGATTATGTGCTGCTTTCTTTCCAATCCAAAACATCTGCTCACACATTCTATGTTTGCTGGCAGCTCTTCCACTCGGCAATCGCACTGTCCAATGCACTACATCGATCTAGCATGGCGTGACTGCGCAACATGGACTCGAGAAAAATTACTCAACAAAAGTCAAAGCTTATCACATTACCCAAATTCCTCCATTCAATATCGACTTTCTCCGAAGACGGCTTCCAACGACCAGGATTGATCAACGGTCCGACACCGTTTCATCAGATCGAAGAAGTTGATTAATTGGAGCGCAACATAGCCAAGAGACAAGGCTCCATTCCCCCCTGGTATGGTGTTTGTCACACGGATTGTTTCCCAACGGATGCGGGTATCCGCTTCTTGCCCGCAAACCATTGGAGATCCGAACCTGCTGGCAGGCCGCGTCATCTAGGTGATATTCCATATCACCCCGTGACCAATTAGTAAACAGGATTGCGAGTCAAGTTTGGAAATGAACAAGAGTTATTGTACCGGACCATGGTTTTGGTGTCATTGGAATTGGTCTTGGCTTTCACGGTCCCTCCTATCCTCGAGTACTAACAAGTATTCCAAATACTTGAAGATGTGGCCTGTTTTTGCCTTGGATGTTCCTAAAAGACGACAGTATCGTCCGTTACGGTAGGATTGAGAGGTGGCATGGATGAATTGAGAATTCGACTCCCTTGTTCGGATGCGATGATACTGTGGCTCGGCCCGATGCTTCATGCTGTCTGACACTTGTAGTTTATGGTGCCGAGAATATCATCAATGAGAGGTTTCTCTTAGAGGATTGTTGAGCAGAATGGGAAAGTAAGTGGGCATTTCCTTGTTTGGAACGTTAACTGATGCGCAGTTAGTCGGTCGGTCCGCCAATCAGAAGTCAATTATGAAGTATCAGTCACTGAGCCTATCTAGAAGTATTCTGCGATGGACGATTCAGCATTGAAGCTGCTACATTTAGGCTCCTTTCCACTACGGTAATTATCACTTTTCATACACAATTCAGGCCTCCCCTCATTCCCCTTCGGATACTCTTCGCGGCCCCTTTGACCCTCCCAATACCCTCCAGCCCATCCCATTCCAACCACAACAAACCCACATTGAGCCTACCCCATAACCCCCGGCACCTGCAAACCCGTTAAGCCCACAACCCATCATCTGATTTGTATCCCCTCAGTGCTACACACATTTGGGCGGATGCACACGCGGATGTAACCCGCAACGACCAAGCGGACCACAACCTAAGGAGATACGAACACAAACTGCGCCTAAGCAGTGGAAACTCACACAAGCACATTCGACGGCCACAATTTCGAAGTGACAAGCATGGGTTTCCTAGCAGTGGAATTTGTAATATGGTGGTGGTGGTAATTAGGTGGCGATTGTCGTCAATGGTCAGCAACGCTGGGCAGTGAGTCCTTTGAATATGAGTGGCCGGCGTTACAGCTATGATATCAGACGGTCTTATCAGCCGGTCTCAGCAAGGGGGCGTGCTGAAAAAGTAGGAGGAGCTTCCTACCGTGGCCTGTCGATCTGGGAGTCCGGAGGTGATGTCAGTGGTACGAACCAAAGTCAAAATAATCAGGTATCGGTGTGATAAGGGAAAAGGGCGGATAGCCGAGTGTACTGACCTTCTTCTGTACCTGTCAGAGACAAGACGATCTTGGATGATCTGTCTTACTCTTCATGATTACTTAGACATGGCATGCTACCGCAGCAAGATCTAGTAAAAAAAAAAAAATCTATGCTAAGATTTAGCTTTAAAGAAAAGCGACGTAAATCGCTTTAGATTGGATAGAGATAATCAGTAAGTTCTATCAGCAAGAATGGACGACCGGAGTGAAGAAAATGTTAAAATAAATAAGCCGGCTCTGATTATAGGGAAAGAGCTCACTACCCTATTGTCTCGCTTTCTAGACAGGAACGGAGAAGATTGGATTCGGTCTGTTCATGCACCTTACCCGTTGATAATCGTGAAGTGAATACATTGTCCCTTGCTCGTGGATAGCACTTCTCCTAATAGTAACTCATACATATTAAAAAGAACTGTACCAAAACGAAAACGCTTGAACTTCTTTTGATTCCACAATTTTTTTCGATTCGTAGAAACTCTTTTAGCGGATCTGCAGGCTTTGTTATGCTCTTTACAACCAACTCTTGTGCCATGGTCGATGGTACTGTTTGTAATTCCAGCGTTCAAAGCCCTCTCCTGAATCCCGATATCACCCTAGACCCACTCTTATCTACCCCGGATTCTCTATCACACTAACAAAGCCTTCCTTCGCACAGACTCATCTGCACTTCCCTTTGCATTTTGCTGTTGCCCATACATTCTGACCCTTTTGCATCTTACGAAATAAATATTATATATATGCTGTAAAGTAAAGATCGGTCATCCCTCAACGGTGACTGCGTTCATTGTCATGTGACTCGGTACTTGCGACTATTCGGGGCTTGTGGTTTAGTGGTATAATGCTCCCTTAGCATGGGAGCGGTCCTGGGTTCGATTCCCAGCAAGTCCATTTTTTTTTGCTTCAGTCTCGACTGCTAGATAGATGACCGAAGTTCGGGGGATGAGGTTTGAGGTCGCTAGGGTGGGATGCTCTCTTTTACCTACCCGTCCAACGTGCCAACTGGAACGGGAGGCTTGTTCTGATACTCTAAAACATCTTGTCTTGGTGGGTGAGTTCAAGGATATATACGAGTTTTAAATTGGTTAACCTAGTCTTTAGCTTTTTAGGAGTCTTTTCTAGCCTGCCCTAACTTCAGGGTAGTCTGAGACGGGTCCATCGAATGTTCGTTTTGTCCCTTACTAGTACGAAAGATGGCTATACGACTCTATTATCTCTTGTTTTGCCTTATGAAGGTAAGAATGAAGGTAAGAATGAAGGTAAGAATCACGGCAAGAATTGAAGGTAAGAATTGAAGACATCACGCAGATTTACGAGATGATATTAGTGTAAAGAAGAATGCGACTGAGAGGTAACTGCTTTCAAACCAGTTTGAGCTGGCGAACAAAGTAACTAAAGAAGTCTTCCACCAAGGTCAAGCCTTCTAAGAATTACAGATAAACTATTTAATCCTTCTTTTATAACCTCTATTATATGTCTTTCAACAGAAGAGTCTCGCTGAAGCCTACCGACCGCGGTATTCTAGGTTCTCTAAGTAAGTATTAATTCACGCTTCCTTAGCAATATTACCAATCTGACGCCCGGTTACTGGATTCAGATTAATCACCTTGGAGGTTGCACGGCTCAGAAAGAAACAGTGAGACGCTAATATGTCATCTCACCTCCTATTGTCATTATAGAAAGCTAAGCAAAGGTCCCCAGATACACCAATCCTCGTTTACCAGATTACTCTACTAACTCCCCATCATCACCGTCGTAAAAGTCTAATCTCACGCCCTTGTTGGAATTCCAATTCTAATCTGCTCCTGCTTGATCTCATCCATCATCCTCGGCGTATCGAATTCAAGCTCTGAAAAAGCTTTCTCGATCACACTCTTCCTCCTCTCACTCCTCGACTTGAACACAGCCCCAAACTTCCTCGGATGACTGACAAACCCTGCCGTAAAAGTGCTCTCCTGCACCACTGGCGCCTTACCCTCCGCCCTAATATCAAACGCCCACAACATCCGCGCAATCGAAAGGCGCAAGGAGTTACTCGCGATATGCCGTCCAGGACAAATTCTCCGCCCAAACCCGAAATTGTTAAGGCCGGTGACGGCGGACTGGCCTTGTGGGGACTTGCCTTCCCAGCGCTCAGGCAGGAAGACGGTCGGGTCGGCGAAGAGATTGGTATCTTTGCGTAGGGTGTCATAGATGGGGAGGACGACAGCGCCTTTGGGAATCAGGTAGCCGTTGTAATAGTCGTCGCGGATGTTACTGTGTGGGATCCCTCCCGGAGCGAGATGGCGCCAGCGGAATGTTTCTTCTACAATAGCTTCGATATACGGCATGTGCTCGAGGTCTGAGAACTCTGGGAGGCGGGAGTCGCCGACAACGCTGTCGAGTTCGGCCTGGGCGCGCGGCATGAAGGAGGGGCCGTATGTGGCGCAGGCTAGGACGAAGATTTTAAGTGTTACCGTTGTGGTTTCTATACCCGCGCTATTGAGGATGCCGAGCGTAAAGGCAATGTCGACTTCAGACCATGAGGCTGCTTCTTTAGCGGCCCGCATGTCTTTAGTCCAGTTCCAGCCCTTAGCGTTCATGCCGAGTTTCATATCGTGCATGAACACCTTCTCACATGACTCGTGCCAGTTATTGGCCCTCTTTTTCCAGGGGCTCCATTTCTCGGGGACATACTTCAACAGCGGAAACGCGTCTACACTCTTCGCGCCCACGTTGCCGATGTGGACTATATCCTCCAGAAGACGAACTGATTCGCGCACATTCCATTCGTCGGCGGAGTGAATGCGGGTGCCATAAGACAGTGTGTAGACGACGGAGGCGGTCAGGCGCTCGAATTCGTGGGTGAAGTCATTGGAGGTGAGGAGGGCCTTAAGGAGGACTTTGGTTTCGAGATCTTGCACGGGTTTGTATGTTTGGGAGGCGCGGGGGGAGAGTACGGGGGCTTGGAGGCGCTGTTCGGCAAAGAGGCCGGAGTTTTGGTGACGGAAGAGGATGTGGTGGTCGCGCGTGGTTAACTCGTTGACCATAATCTGGGAGTATTATCAGTTGCTGAGTTTCTTGACATTCCAAATTCTTCGGATATCGGATCTGTTTACACCGAACACCGAGCTCGGATGATATGGGGTAGATATGGAACCACTGGCTCACCGAGTGCGGACGGTCACTGTAGATATTACCCCTCTTATCAAGCAAATCTTTAGCAACCTCATGAGTGCCAATTAAGATAATATTCGTGCCGCCAAAGTCGAGGCTGACGAGTGGCCCATATTGTTGGATCCACTCGTTGAATTTGATCCAAGGGGCACCCTCCGGGGCCTCAAGAAGGTTTCCAATGACGGGCAGACGACGGGGACCTGGAGGGAATTTTGATGAGCGGATCTTGTTGCGGATGAAGTAACCTAGAAGAAGGACGACTGCTAATATAACAGCGGAAGAAGGCATGGTGTTATTTTAATTTAGGTGAAGCAAAACAGATAGCATATATGCTTTGCATCAGAGGATCCCAAAGAAAAGGAAAAGAGGGAAAATATATTCAAAACGAATATTTTATTTTACGCGGCCCCGGTATACAATTTATCTTCCTTCGGAGAGTTCTTTCTCACACACCATACTACATTGCTACTGGCGCATCTCAGCATCTGCTAGGCTGCATTTGTAGCGCATGCCAGTCTACTCAGGTCGAAATAGGGTTTAGTTTAGAGCTCACTGCGTCCCGTCCGACCCGCTTCCCCGCTCCATACCCTTGGAATCGGCAAGTATATCTCCGTAATGATTGGTTGGGTTATTTGTTATTAGAAGCCCTAATTACGCCCCAGGGAGTCCTAGTTCACCGCTTCATTATGTAAACTCAATATTTCCAAGCCAACAAGGGCCCTTTTGTGGAGATACACAACCTTTCGTATTATTCGGCCGTAAGCATGTGAACATTGGAAGTTTGGGAGGTGAGGTTGCGATAAACTATCATTGCCTAGTTTCTACTTGCTATAACCGTAAGCTTGCATTTCACATCGCCCTTGCAGCAGGGACCCTGAACGATCATCTTAAAATAATATATTGGGTGCAGAGTGGGTAGGTCTTGGGAATAAGTTTGTGAGTTGAATAAGGAAGTCCGGCCAATCACTGATGGGTATGGTTTTACAGTTTTTAATAGTTGGCGCTCTCGAATTAGTGTGACAACAATGCAGTTTTACCATGAGTCATGTATCATACTTCGCTTTCACGGTTTATAAACTCGCCACATTCCTATTGAGGCAAACCGAGATCGTCTATCGTGGCGGAATGATTTGATGAAGTGCAAACGAACTACCAGAGCCTACCTGCTGATTCATAGGGCAGACTTCAGCCCTACCAGTAATAATATAAAGAAGTATAGTGCTCGGATATATGACGTACATACCAGTAACCCGGGTATATGTCTACAGGACACAACTTTCCACCCATATCAACGCCAAAACCATATGCGCCCAAATTGCACGCATCCATGCATTCATAACGCCGTCAAATTCCACTTTTGGTCAGATGATGATCCGATTAGAAGCCCTTTCTAGCAAATCTCTCCAACGCTGGTCCATACTGACTTTTTAGCTTCTTCACCTTCTCAACCTCCCTCTTATCCATAGCCCGCAACGCCTCCCTAGCCCTAACCTTCTCCTCGTCAATGACATTCTTCTGTCCACTCTTCCTCAAATGTCTCCTTAGTGCAGAGTTTCTTCCCCTACCCCTCTTTTTCAGCTTCTCCACCTTGTCCTCTTCCTTATAATCAAGGTCACGTTCCTTTCTCCGTTGGGCGTCAGAGGTAAGGTCTAGGTTACCGATGAAGTTGGGGTCTAGGGAGATCATGTCCGGCTGCAGTTTCTCCAGGAGAGAGTGAATTTCGGTCTCGCGGCGCTGCTTGCTGGTCTCGAAGGGGTTGGTTCCGGATTCAAGGGCGTCAGGGTTGGGCTCTCCTGCACCGGGAACCAGAATGGAACTGAATCCAGCAGAATGCCCAATTCCAAGGACATCTTCATAACCGCAGAAACGAAGCTTGGAGATCGTCTGGCCTTCACCACCCCACTGCATATATGGGGCCGGGACCTTAATATCCGACCGATTATGCGTGAACAATTTAGAGTCAAACACCGAAACACTCGTCCCCCAGCCTACGGCAGTGAGATTGGTGTCACTGATGTGAACTGATGATCCTGGCTGTCGGAGATGGTGCGTGTGCACCTCCTTGAAAGTCCGAATATCCCAAATAGACATGCGTTTGTCTTGCCCCGTAGATACCTATATCCGTTAGCTACTCGTTCAACCAAGATAGAATATCAAGCCCAATAAGAATGGGAAACATACCATGTATCTTCCTGATCTATCTACAGCAATTGAGCGCACTGGGCCGTGGTGAGGCAAGAGCTTGACGAGCGGCGTCGAGGTGTTCGGGGACCACAGTGTAACAGTGCCGTTCTGGTGGCCGACGTGCAGAATTGCATTAGAGCGATTTTGGCAGAGCGCAGTCGGTGGTCCAAGCCGTGTAGGAAGTTCTGTTAACATTTGGCCTGTGCTTGTGTCGGTGTACTATAGAACTTGTGTTAGAACTGCGAGGTGCGTGGGTAATGGAAGGGGAGCGAAGCCGGCTCACTCTTAGAACGCCAGTCGTACTCAACGAGGCCAATAGGAAGTGATAAGGTAGAAACTCAAGGAAAGTGGGCTCGATGTGTCTGTATCCCGAGTCAGTGTCTCATAACGCTTCCGCTTGAAAGGGTAGGTTACTTCTTTAAATTATGAATCTCCACTCCGTCGCGTGCGTATATGTACACACTCTTCTTCTGCGCAACCGCAAAGCTCTGATTATTGTGTAGCCACTTCGCATCTCTTACTGTTTCCCCCAACTGGAGTTCACATCCAAG